CCTCTTGTCGAAGAAAACTCATGCTCTTATAATGCGTCCGACGAGTTCTGGCAAATCTGGTTTAGAGAGTGTCTTGGATGTTTGCTTATCAAAAGTCCGATCCCACTTAGGTGAAGATCTGATGGAGTGTGGATGACGAGTTTTCAACGTACTGTATGCGTACGAGATTGGGCCTGGTAAGAATCAATGGATTCTGGTGTACCAGTTCAAGTTCCTCGAAGCCTATGTTAACAAGAGGCAGGACTCAAAAAAAAAAGCAGATAGGACGTTGGAGCCTCTGATCAGCAGGAGGAACATATCCTCCTATAACTCGTTTGGAAGAATGGCATTCGATAGGAGTGACATCACTGTAAGGCACACTGGTTGGATCATGACAAGCCGATTGTGTTTTATCCTCAAGATAGAATATACTTCAGCATACAGTGCAATCTCGTTAAACGATTTTCACTTGAACTGAAAAATAAAACGTATTACCCGAAAATCGTATTATCAAAAATGAGCTCAAAAATGTAATAGAATATTCATACCCGGTGAGAAACTTGCTTTTATTTTGCAGCCTTGAAATAGTCGGTCACTTTGGCTTGAGTTCTTCTTTTCAATATCGATAAACAAGTTCTTTTGAAAGTTTAAAAAAAAGATCTGCAGTTTGGTTGGCCAGCTCAGCGTTTGTGACTAAAGCCCGAAGAGTGTCCAACGCTTCGAGCACGTCGCCTACAGTTACCGCACAACAATTCCCGCAGTCGTCTCCAAGCCCTTGTGTGTCGTTGTCTTCGTCGTCGTCGCCATCTTCAACGGTCGTGCTGGTGGCTTTCGCAATAATATCTTGAAGAGTACGCAACTCGCATGTCGCCACGTGGTCATCCGCTGACACAAACTCCTCTGGAGAAACGTCCACGCTCAGGTGATCCCAGTCTGGAATCTGAAGCCCACCGTCGTCTTCCTCAATGCTGAGCGCATCGTCCTGTGCACTGAAAAGTCCACATTTCTTGAAGCAGTTTGCGATGACTTCCGACTTCACACGATCCCAGGACATCGCCAAAAAGTGAATGGCGTCAAGTAGATCAGTCTTCAAGTTGGTGTCATTTCGATCGATACTGGCTAGAAGGCCGCCTCACCAGCAAGCTTCGAAAATGATGCTTCACGTTTTTGATAATGCCCTCGTCCAGGGGCTGCAAATGGTTGGTGGTGTTTGGTGGCAAAAAAATTACCTTTACGTTTCGGAGCCAGCCGACGTCAACCAGGTATGCGGCACAGTTGTCGACAAACAAAAGAATGTTTCTGTTCTTGGTACGCATCTTGGAGTCGAGAACAGTGAGAAACTCGGAAAAGAAAGCGCCAGTCATTTATGCCTTCTTATTCGCCTTGTAGGTGATCGGAAGGAACTGGTTACGCGAGAAACACTGCGGCTTCCAGAACTTCCCAATTACAGTTCGTTTAAGTTTTTCGCTTCCGTTGGCATTGCAACAGGGGAGGACTGTCACTCTTTCCTTGCTTTTTTTTTCCTCCTTGGCATGTCTCACCCTTCATACTGAGACTTTTTTCGGGCTGGAGGCTGATAAAGAGACCTGCTCCGTCCGCTTTGAACACATCTTGTTGTCGATACTGGGATATCAGCGCTGGCAAAGTTGACATCCAGTCTGAGACAACCCTTGTGTCGGCATTCTTCCCCTCGCCAGAAACTGTCTTGTAGGTCAAGCTATGTCGTGTCTTAAACCGGTGCAGTCAGCCACCCAATGCTTGAAAACCTGTGATGCCCATGGAGAACGCGATCTCATCGGCCTTCTCGCGGAGAACTTTACCGTCGATGTTCACTTCGCTGCTTGTACTTCTTTAAACCAAGCCAGGAGGATCTCTTCCATCTGTGCATGGTGCGCACCTCTCGTTTGTTTGACGCTGGTGCCGAAGACTTGCAGCTTGTTGCGGATTTCTTCCTGCTTGCCGACGATAGTGCTAAGAGTTGAAACCGGCAATCCTAGTTCGCATGCCAGGTCTACGCGCTTCTTCAGATCTTCTTCAGCCTTGCAGATAATGTCCATTTTTGCTTTTAGGGACAACGGCTTGCGTTTTCTTGACATTGTCATGGTGGTTAGCGATACCACGAGAGCCGTAATAGGGAGTACCGGAGAAGAAGCACCAAAGAACAAACAAACCAGCGAGGCGCTGAACAAAGCGAGACAAAGCGCACTAAAAAAAAAACAGAAGAAATTGCACAAGAGGCGGCCAACACTGCCAACGCTACCTACCGGGCGCGACGCACACCCCGCCACGTGAAACAAGAGTGCACTACTTTCCACTTGATGGCGAACAGCAACGCCCGACTGGGCGGCCATGTTGGAACACCCCAGCGTTAACTAAGGCTCTCTTGCTGTGGCCGCGCAACGTGCCGTTCGGGGCTCATTAGAATGTGATTCGAGCTTGTGATTCCAGTATGCTGGAATGTAAAGGCATATTTTTTTTAAATACCCGTGAGAACCGGCTTTCAGAGTTGCATTATCCGATTTCAAGGAAAAATATGATTGTATTGTCCGTATCAAAATACATTGCTCCTATACACTCCGTGCGACGCGACGGGCGCGCCGTCGCGCGGTCGTTACCGAAGGCTGGCAGTGAGAGCCCCAGCGAAACGAAACCACGCCGCGTACATTGGTACGCATTGAATTCGGAGCGGTGCGGCTGCGCTGGGTTGAATGCATGAACTACTGCGTCGTTAAGTGCTCCAATAGTTATGCGTCGTATCTCATGGGGACGAAATTTCAGTTTTTCACCTCGCCGCTGTTTTGTGGGACAGCGACAATGATGGACCCGTGCCGTACGACGCAAAAAATTTGGTCTCCCGATCATGTCTGCCACTGTGTCGGCACGGCTGAGATATTCTGCACTGCCGCTTTGCGCTCTGCGTTTGTTTTCGTACCAATAACGCCTACATATCTCAGCTCAAACTGAAATGCCGTCCCACACTTGCGGGTATGCAGTGCGAATTTCGTTGAAGGAATGTCCTCCAAAGAAGTTTCGTCCCCATGGTACGTGTCGATGATATTTCCGAACCAGTATGGCACGCAGTCTGTACTTCATGAAGAAAGATTCAGACGGTATAAAGAGTGACAAATATGAATCTAAGGGAAGCTACAATGAAACTTGGAAACACTGGACAATCAATGTTTGAGTTTGGAAGTTTATGTGGTGTGCTTTCTTTTTTGATCATCCTCCTTTTGGATGGGGAGCGCCGCACACCGAGTCTTGTAGACAACAATTTTTTTTCTCGGCTTTAGAGCCACCAATTGCAAAGTTGTTCGAACTGGAAATACCCTCCACTGGTCCCTTTCTACCTGTTAAAGTGTGCACCTCCCGGCCATGATGAGTGATATTCTCTTGACAGCCTTTGACGGTCAAAACCGGTTCCCATTTAGTTACGCCGCCCAAAAATATTTCCATCTGGTTAACCTATGCCACCTCTTTTAGATATAATAAGTGTCTTGTCAAGTTACGGTTGTCAAAGTACGTGTGTGCCGAAAATCAGCACCTCGCACAACCAGATTACTACACAACAGCTGACCGCAAAAGTCTTTGACGGCCAAACCGTGTGTTGGCCGGCAACTTGGTTTTCTCAGCTTTGAAACCGCTTTTCGTAACGTTGTTTCGATTGAAAAGTACACTAGTCCCTTCCTACCTGTAAAGTCTCCATCTCCTACGACGAGTGGTATTGTCTTTAAAGCCCTTTCACGATCAAAACCGTTTCCCATTCAGTTACGCCGCCCAAACCAAATTTCCACCTGGTTTTCGTATGCCACCTATTTTTGGTATTATAGCCGCTGTGTCAAGTTACGGTCATGTCCAAGAACCTGTGTGTCCAAATCTGCACTTCGCACAGCCCGTTTATAACACAACATTTTGGGTCTAATATTGGATATTTCTGACAGCTTTATTCCTTAATTCGTTCGAACTATAACTTTCACACCTGCTGTCTTAATAAAACTCGGCCCACTAAGTGCACACATTTAGTGAACATCTCACTCGCCTCCAAATATCATCGCCCCAGCAGTCCTACGTTTACAGCGATGAGCAAAACAAATTTCCCACTGAGAGCAATTACGGTGGCGGCCGTCTTGCTTTTCGGAATATTGCTCAAACCCCTTTTTCGACCGCAACTAAAGAAATTACACCTAATAACGACTCAAACTCAATATATAAGAAGCAGAGAACAGTTAAATGCCCTTCTTAAATCTGCCCCAGCACTCATGTTACGTCACCCTCAACTTATCGGCTCAAAAAGCAAAAGTTCCGTCCGTGCGCGCTTCCGCCGCCACAGCTTCGCACGCGAAAAAGCGCCGCTGGCTGCTGAGCTCGCCTTACTGTCGAACGCCAGCTCCTCCGCTAGTGGCGCTACGCGTGTTTTTCAAAGTGCCCCCTATAGTTCCCGCACGGAGCGTATAGACCTTTGCAAAAAGAGCTCTCTGGCCGCCGCCATTTTGCGAACCGAGCGACCCCTATCAACCAGAAAGTTCTGCCACCTGCCTGAGCTGTGGAAACCCGGTCAGCGTGACTCCCCAGCTGCATTGTGCATTCCGAGTTCGTTGGCTTTTCTTGGAAGTTTTTACTTTATTTGCCTGTTTAGGATGCTTACCCTTTGTGTGTTATCTTCCACTGTGAGATCCAGGGAATACCAGGGCTCATAGTCTGCTCTGCCTTCGCAGGAAACGAACGAAAAGAGCGAACGTCAAGCGGCCCGCGACGCGGGCAGTTTAAAGGGGTTGTGAAACGTTTTTGAAAATTCTGTGCTATGTGCGATATTTTGATTACCGGTCCTCTATTAGGTAACCCACGCGGATTAGTTTTATCGTCCGGAATAATTTATTAGCATAAAACAACAATTTCGGTTTCCCGGGCAGCTTGCCTCATACTTTTACAGCTGCGTCACATTAAGACAGCCAATTGGAAAGTTTTGCTTTCTGACATCACGCGTAGAAGTCAAAGGCGAACCAGATACGTTCCTCAGATGCGAGATGTCCGATCGGCTGGCTCTCCTCGAGCTTCAACGTCGATTAATCGAGCGAAGCAGACTTCTCGGCTTTGTGCCTTATGCGGACACCCCCCTCCGAGGAGTACGAGACCGCTCACCATCCGACGGCAACACCGACAGTGAAAACGGGGCGAGCTCTGAGCAGCGAAATGCGCGCGGCTCAACGAGAGCCCGTTCGAGCCTGATCATCAACCTCCTGAACCGGGTCGACTTGGATGTACAAACTGGTATGTATTCCTGTTCTGCACGCCGTAAATCAACCCGCAAGTGAGCGCAGTCGCTGACCCAAACATTCGAATAGGTGCACCTGCGGCCAGTGCAAGGCGATGCCGACCATCTTGGAGAGTGTCTGCTGTCGCGAAATTCCGGCAGCGACCGAGAAGCAGCCGTCGGACTGCATTACCAGGAATGTTCGCTTCCACACGCTGTGCCTGGACGACGTGGTGCTCGACGTCGTTTTCCATACGCTCCAGGACCACGGCGTACGCGTCGAGAACACAAGGTAATGTCACATACAGGCTACATGCCTATATGTTCTAGAGGTGCCTGCGCTTACGGGTGCAAATATATTTCTACCTGTACTTCGTCTCACAGTAGCGTGGACTAACTGCGAAGGCTGTGCATGGATTTCGCGCTGTACGATCACTCATGCAGCCGCCGAGCCCGTGACGCAAAGCAACAAGCTCGCACGCATGCGTAATAGACCCTGCTGAGGTGAGACGTAGTATCAATAACATTGAGCTTGACACCCAGTACGTTTAGTTTTATCTTCGTTTACAGCGTCAGCACGCTGAGAGCACATGCGAGTGTTAATAAGCTGTACCTCCAGACTTACAACTGGTATGACCAAGTGTCCGCTTATGGATATACAAAAAATGGCAAAGAAAGGAAGCAGTCCATACAGATCTATCTGTTTTATTATTGTGTATCTTGTAACACTTGTATCACTTTTGAAAACAAACACTTTGCCTCAGTATAAATTGACCTCGACCTTGGAATTGACCTCGACACATACTGTATGCAAAAATTAGGACAAGAAAATAAGCAAGTTCTTAAGTCAGACAGAAAACACAGCACTGCACACGATGGAATCACAATAGTAAAGATAGAAGCTAATTTCACACAGACAACTCACTGGATGACTCATTTGCCATAGCATAAAATGTGTAGCATGGAAAGAAGACGACGAAGGAAAAGAAACAAAGAGGGAGCACATGAGCCACCACAGAAGCGGCTGATGCTATGGTTGGCGAAAGGGGCAGTTGACGGCTCAGACTGATTCAATCCTTAGATTGGTGGCAGTGGTGCGATGGCGACTGCTGCACCGGTGGGATGGCGACTGCTGCACCGGTGGGATGGCGACAGCGCTACAGGTCAGTGCCTGATAATTTTTCTGGAGATGAGGACTATGATGCCTGGGAATGCCATTTCAACGTCTGTACTGCGGGAAACAATTTGGATGACGCCAAGAAGCTGCTGTTCCTACTGACTCTACTGAACTGACGAGCTTTCCTGGTTTACCAGCATCTGGATCTGCAAGATCGTGCATTCTTCGCCTGTCTATCCGCTGCCATGTCAAAGTGCTTTGGATCTCCTGCTCAACGAGAAGTCCCTGCCACGCAATTCCGAACATGGAAACACCGTTTTGGGGAACCATATGACATGCTCGCCTACGACCTGATCGACTTGTTTTCCAAGGCATACCCTGCAATGCCCCACAAAGACCATGACGCTCTTGTGCAGGATCAGTTCAGTGCGGGACTCGGCAATGACCTTCGGTGCCGGGTACTCAATGCTGTTCCAACACCTCTGGCAGCTGCAGTAACCGCTGCAAACTGCATCAACCGTCTTGGCAAGGCATCAGTAGATATATCGTTCACTACTACTGCGGGCGAGGACACGGCATGCCATAAAAGCAAACATAGCATCCCTTACTTCTTCTATGGCTGCTCTCGCAGACAGGATCGAGAACCTCCAGAGGGGGCAAACGACCAAACACCAGGGCCGGCTTGCTAGAAACAGCGTCCCAGCGTAGACTGGAGGAAAGAAAGCACTGCCAAAGCCAGCGCACAAGCTGGGCGGGACTTAAACCGCGTCTGAAGACGCTCGCGTGCCCCAGACTTTGCAGTGCTTCCTTTCACCCAGCTTCAGCTGAGACTGTTCTAGCAATCCGGCCCAGGTCTCATGTCAGCAACACTGCTTCCGTTGTGGCAGGGCAGGACATTCGCATGCAACTGTAATGCCAGGATAGAGAACAACGGAGAAGGAGACAACTGTAACCAACGTTGGAACCAATGGCATTCGGAAAACTGATTGGTGCCTCAACTTGGAGCCCTGCCCAGGCACCCCGGAGCCCTGCGCAGGCACCCCTACCAACACGGTGCTGAACAAAAACTACAGAGCTTGTCATGGTACTAGAGACGATCGCAGGTGTTTTACTACACTTCTTCTTTCATTAGGGGTTGTCAGTGGCTATCATTAGCTTTAATGCGTGGACGCTATTACTGGATGCAAAGCCCGCAAGCGTACCAGAACAGCGCAATGTACACGCTTTGAATTATGGGACTTTGAACGAGGAAGGCATTTGCTACCCACAAACCAAGGTTGCAGGCATCGAGACTGTACATCCGGTGTTGGTCATTTGCGGTATAACCCAGGAGTGCATCCTTGGCACTACCTTCCTCACTAGTACGGGTTCTGTCTTAACATTTTGGATTTCTCGTTGCAAGCAAAGAAACCATGTGCAGAAACTACCGGCGCGAAAATGGAGCCACTAAGAATTTTTACTCCAGTGAGACTTTTGCCTCACAGTGGAGTTTTTGTCGATGGCCAGGTTTAACAGCGGGACCGGCCTTTGACAATGTCTTGCAACCTTGTCCAGATGTCCTTTAGCAAAAAAGAGCGACATCACTCTAGAGCATGCTGTGGTTCGGAGCACCATTCCAGTTTGCGTTTTGAACGACACAGAACAAGCGGCCCGATCATACCAAGGGACAGTGCTAGGGCTCATTGATGATATTAATAATGCCAATGACGACTTCTTATTTGCAAAGACTCCTCCAAAAATGCCAGCAGCAAACAAGAATCCGCACGCATGACACTTCACCAAAACAAGTGGAACAAAGAACATCTGCTCCGTACTATTTTTTTTAAAACACAAATACCTAGCCAAGATCTCCTGCACCTAGGAAACCTCTTATTTTCCTTTGAGGACGTCATTTCCCAGGGGGACTTCGATATTGGCCGCACAGAAGTGATCGAACACCATATCGAAATTCGCATTTCGCAGCCCCTGAAAGAATCTCCTCAATGACTTTTGCCGCATCTTAGCAGCTGCAACGCTGCATAACGCCGAAGCAGAGTACCGTCAGAAAACAGTATTATGATCGGAACGTTCACTAGCAAGATTTTAAAGTTGGAGACAAAGCGTTACTTTACTGCCCAGCGGCGAAACAGGGCAAATTGTTAGAACTCCACTTGCCATGGCAGGGGCCCTATATTGTTGTCAAGAAAGTTTCAGAAACAATGTTTCGGATTGAGTTTAAGGCCTCTAGACACATGCGGATCGTTGAGCATCATAACAGACTGAAACCTTATCGGCAACGCCAATCATCTGGGTGCCCTAGACAACTTTACGACAGTGGCCTACTTGCAAGCGAAAGTGCTACAGAAGGCTCCTGGGACGTTCCTTTTATCTCCGAACAGGAATGGAAACCACATGGAAACAGACGACTGTCCACCTGAGTTGTTTGAATTCGAGGAAGACCCTCCGCCTGACTTGCTTCGGTAAGTCAAGAAACAATGCAGCCTTCTAACGGAGTTGAAACAATCTACATTGACAACCAGTTCAACAAGATCACGATGGAAGACACACAGGAACATCAGTCATCTGGAATACTATGTGACTCAAAGGCCCGACTTGACTAAATAATCAAGACGTTAGACCCCGAGCATCGTCGCCAATGAGAAACAAGAGACAAGAAGAACCTATAAATAAACAACAGGCGCCACCTGTGCCAACTGAGACGTCGAGCACTGGCTTTAGTATGAACTTGTGGAACTGTACAAATCTCTCTCTGCCGGCACACTTTCGAGACTTTATCCTCACATGAGTTCACAGGTTGTGAACCTTTTCACGGGAGGATGTGTAATGGAAAGAATACAATGAAGCGGAAGAAACAAAAAGACAGCACATGAGACAAGTGGCTGAGGCTACAGTCGACAAAAGGGGCAGTTTGGGGTTCAGAACGATTCTTATTAAACCGTTACAAAATGTAAAACAAGGATTTGTGCTCCACATAGTATGTGAGCTGTGTCTGTGGCACCGTGCAAGTGTAGCGCCCGTACCTGGTGATGCAAACAAATTTCTATACAGTGTGCAGTTTTGAATATTGGTATGTGTTGCCTCTACAGTCTAACAACATTAAGTTGCCCATCTTGTAAGCAAGTTGGACATTTTGATTTTCAATTAACAGTGCTGAATGAAATTGCGATGATATGAAGCAACAATTTTCTCCATGTCAACAGAAGGTACCGGTACATCAGCTATAGCCAACTTGCGCACTGGCTTTGGGGACGCCTGGGCAGGAATCACAGTAAGGTCTTCCCAGCCTGTGCTTCGTGTCTTCGTGGATTTGGCGAACTTAGACCTCCTTGCTGCAACCAGCTTGTTCTTCGAAGGCCTCGGAATGGAGTGGCTCATGGGTGGGGGGGCAGTGGAGGGGTTTGCTGCAAAAGCTACTTTGAACGATCGCCACATTTTGCAGCAGTTTGTCGTTTCTTTCAGCAGCAGGTTGACATAGTCCGAAATTGAATGAACAGACACGGATAGCACAAGACAGTACATTCTCGCCATGCAACATATCGGACACTGACAGTACTTTTGTGAGGATTAGGTCATTACAGCAGAACATTCGTTCTGGACTGACGCTTTCCTGGGTGTCCATTACCAAACTTACAGATGTGAGACTAAAGAGTCTTAATACTTTATATATTTGCAGTGACGTGATTGGTTTGAGCCATTTTGGAGCAGCTCTAGGAGCAGTCAAAAGTCAACTTTGAAGCAGCAAAAAGAAGTTTTGGAGCATAAGCGGACACTTTATTTTTCATTCATATTATTGCAAATATTATGTTAAGGTTCATGCGTTGGCCACTGGGCTGTGGATTTGTATACATCAGGAAGGCGTATACAAGCTGAAATTTTATTTTAGAAAGTGTGCCATGGTCTCGCTTTGGAGGAGTGCTTGCCCCTTAGCACGTGGGTGCGCTGCCGCGAAGCAAAACACAAAATCGCAATGCCTACTTTGCGGCTGCCGCTTCTCTGCTATGCACCAGTGCGCGGTGAGAAGCGCACTCAACGACACTTGCTAACCTGCCAGAACAGACCACAAATGTGAGAATTATTGTAAATCATTCCAGTCTTTGATGTGAAATTGAATCGAATAGCAACATTATTTGAGGCAATAATGAAAAGTTCTAAAAACTCGCATAAGCCTATCGTAATGATCCGGCCGGGTAGCAAGGCCTGAGCTATTATATTTTCGGAGGCAATAGACCCTTTCCGAAATTCAGTCTGGCCACTTTGATCACTATCATCATCATCTGAAAAATGGCATATGTGCCATACCAATGGCGGCTTTCTAATTACTGATGAAGGAACATGTTGAAGATACTCCTAAGCTGAGGATTCGAGGACTATATATTCTAGATGTTAGCCCGTTGCGAAACCGGAATTGAATGCAAGCGCTGCGTAAGTGTTCATTTCTCTACTTCGAGCCCAGTGAACCTGTTAGTGGCACAAAATCGACTTCGAAACCCCTTGACTTACACAACTTTATCAAGGCGTCTGTCTGGGTTGGCGCTTCGTTCTGACTGGTTGCATCGTTGTGGAAATCGACACTGGAAGAGATGACCCAGAAAAACCTGTATAGCGAAAAGTTTATTCTCGTCTGCCGTTGACATGCAAAAGTGACGGTGCCCGATAAAATACTGCAGGCTACGTGTTCATTGCCGCCATTCGTATGGCACAAGTTAAACCGCCATTTCAGCCACCAGATGGCACTGAATTTCGGAAAGGGTCTATTGAAGTGGAAATTAAGTTTTGTCGCAATGTGGGCACAAATTCCTCACATTGTGGTAAAATGTAGCAGAATGTAGTAGGGTTACCACTTTGGTGCAGCAATCACATCACTGTATTCGGCATCAAAATACTGTTAAAGGCTATAGTCTGAAAATTGTTTGGTGCAGATACGTAGGGCAAGCAGTTCTACTACAAATACAATGTCGGTGTGTACAAGTCAATGTGAACAATTAAATGACTATGCAAGTAGACTTCCACTTGTCTGTAATTTTCTCAATTGTATGTGTACACTTAATTCAACATAGCAACATTTCTGACATTACATTACCATCTTACTTGGATAGATAAAAGCAATGTTTCGTATCTCACATGGAAACCAGTTCAAGGAGCAGCTTGGCATGCAGCATACAAAGTTTCAGCACACTCTTATATGTAACGTAATATAACGGATAAAAACCTAAGAGAATGGCGCTGTGAGAGTAGGCATTTAGATGGTCACGTGACGTCAATTTTCCCACTTGATTTAGCGCGGTTACGCCGACGCCGCAAAACATGAAAAAGGGCGCCTAAGAGCTGCGCTCTAAAAACAAGATTCGTCACAGCACTAAGCAATCCACTTAATGTACGAGGGCCCATCTTGCTTGGGACGGGCAACAGCCATTACCTTTTTCGATTTCGAATACGAGATCTTCCACTGAGGCAATCCATCAGCAGTGATCGCTTGCGGATTGTTCGCATTCTCGTTGAAGTGCAATATTGCCAGTTGTGTTCTGGAATGAGACAAATAAACCAAGGATCTTTGTAAATTTGAATCTTTGCAGACAAGCTTGCTTGTCACTTATTTTGCACGTATGCCGTTGGGGGAGAAGGACACAGACTTGGGCGCAAACCCGTTCAGCACACTATAGAAGGATTCCAGGCTGAATGTGTGTGTGGAAGGGGCCAGCTGCCGAATATCCTTGAGTAGACGTGGTGCCATGGTAACCTCAAGGAACTTGTCATGTAATAATAAATAAAATATACACCAACCAAATCCTTGTATAAAGGCAAAACCCTACGTTTCGAGACCAGCTCGGTCTCTTCTTCAGGGGTTGACTGCGGCTATGGCCGTTGAGGAGCAGCAATCTGTTTTCTTCTTCTTCTGTGGCAGTGTCTATCGTTTTGCATCGGTGAGGTGGCGAAGTCCGTTCACGTAGCCGGTCAACAGAGCGCCGAGGGATCTATTTATGTTTTCTGGCGTTGTTTGTATGTGTCACGATTCAATAAAAAGTCTATGTCTTGGATTGGTCTCAACAGCCAGGATGCTGGTGTTGGCAAAGTCAATTTTGTGGTCCTTGACGTCGCAGTGCTCGGCTACGGCGCTTCGTTCATGGTCCAACTTTGGAACATCGTTCATATGCTGGCGGATTCTCTCCCGAAAGTTCTTCGTTTCCCCCATGTATGTGACCGGACAGTCCGCGCATGGAGTTTTATAAACGACGCCTTGTGCTTTTTCCTTAGGCGGGCGATCCTTTGGACGGGGCACGAGTCTTCCAAGCGTAGACATCGGCTTGTGGGCCACCTGGATCCCTTCTTTGGCCAGTACACGTGCCAGCACCTCGCTTGTACCTTTTATGTAAGGAACGCTGATGCGTGAGGTACGACGGGTCTGTGTACTTGCTGGTAGTTGCAGGTGTCGGCGATTTCGGGCTTGATCACGCGCAATGCGGCGGATGAAGCTGCTTGTATAACCGTTATGTTGTAGGTCGGCGAAGATGGTGTGTTCCTCTTTTTTACGGTCTGCTTCGGATCAGCAGATATTTTTTGACCTAGATAAGAGTGTTCTGACCACTGATGCCTTGTGACAGGCTGGGTGATTGGAATGGAAATGGAGATAGCGTCCAGTATGTGTCGGTTTTCTGTAGACAGAAAACTGGAGCTCTTCATTTTGTCTTCTGACAAGCACATCGAGGAAAGGTAAGGTAGAGTCCTTTTCATGCTCCACGGTGAATTGTATAGACGTTTCGATGGAGTTGAGGTGGGTAAGGAATGTGTCCACTTCCGACGTTTTTAGGATGCAAAAGCAATCGTCTATGTACGAGATCATGCTGGTGCGCTAACTATGTTCATTTGTATTGAAACGCGTGATCCTGGCAGTTTAGGTTTTCGGTGCTTGTTTATGGCCGTTCTTCACTCAGAAGCAACCAACAACTGCGCTGTTGGGCGCAAGACTTTCAACGCGTCGGTGCTCGACGAGCTCGACAGCAATGGTGACACGTAATATATGGTGCCAGGGTGGAGAAAAGAATCAAGCTTGGAGAAGAAAAGCAGTGCCTGGAAAGGCGCTTGGGATCATAGAAGGCTATGCTTGTGTGTGCTCAATGACTGGTCAAGACGGGGCTGGCTGCCAAAAATATGGATGAAATTGCATCTGGCTAGGTTCTCCTTTCAGAGGCAAATGCAAGCTTTTCTGTAAATACAAGGAAGCTAGCATCTGCAAACAAACTTTTTTGGTGTAAGATTGTTTTGTAAATCTGGCCTCTTGTGTTGCTTGGTGTGCAAGTCGGGGGTTTCTGGAGGATGTTTTTGGCAGTCTGTACAGCTCTCTCGGCTTCGTCGTTACTTTGCGCGTAGTGTGCACTGGATGTCTTCTGCTGCACACCCCAGCCACTCAGAAATTGTTCAGATTCCAGTGAACCAAACTGTGGACCGTTGCCTGACCGAATCATATCTGGGACGCCATAACGAGTGGAGGCGATTGAGGAAATCGAGAAAATGGTTTGTTTGTGTCCCATGAAGCCCAAACAGAGCTTAAAAATCTTTGAGTAGTAGTCCACAGCAATGATGTCATTTTTGCAGTGAAGTTCTTTTTCCAGTGTTGATGTGTTTTTGTCGATGATGCGGCCAGTGGGCGGCAGGAGGACGCTCTCGAGGTCCTTTTTCTCAACGATGACGAAGATTTACACAAATAAGAGACTCGCCATAAACAAAAACAACAATGACTTTTACTACTTGCAAAGCAATTACGAACAAAACATTACAGGTGACTCTAAAACGTCAGCCACATGCCACGTACAACAGAAGTCTCGTGGGCACGCCGCGGGAGCACGAATCAAGTTAGCTCGACCCAAGTTCGTTCACACTGGCCCCTGTTGGTCGTCCCAGGGTACCAGTGGACCACCACCTGTTCCGTCCTATCCGGGTTCAACGCAGATCCCATTGGGTACAGGAGGCCATGCGCCCCTAGTCAATCTGACAAAAGCTCACTCTTTTCTCTAGGAACCTAACGAGGACCCCCCCTCCCCCCCCCCCCCTGTTTCAAAATTGGAAGTGAGAATACAGTTCCTTGCTTTGGCCAGATGTCGCCACTAACACCCTTACCCTAAGCTCGGGGAGAGCGGCAACAAAAGGCACCTCCGAGCACCACATCCCGCCCCACAGCGTGGGTGGACCTGCCACACGGCTGGCTGGACACACGCACAAAGTATTCAGCCGCACGTTTTGGGAGCATCGTAGCAGACCTTGCATTCTGAGAAATTTAAGCACAGCTTGTTAAGGGCCGAAGCTTTTTCTCTGGTTATCATCTTTCAATGGCTGTCTTTCTTCCCGGAAGCCCTACCCACAATCTGCTTCTGCGAGGGGAGTTGGGGGGGAGGGAACAGGGAGTCTTCCAGCGTGATTTGTCCGACCGCATTCCTGCCAGCGTGTGAAACTAAAGCGCAGTGCGTACAAACTACTAAAGGACGCCTTTGGCATCTTTTTGTTGTCAGCAACTCAATACTCGAGCGGCATGGCCTAGCTTTGCCTCACTGCTCGCCTGATAGTGGGCCTCCAGGGGATTTATGTGGCTCCTGTCGGTTGCCCACCGCTTTTGGTGGCAGCAGCTTTTCCCCGGTGGACTTGGTTAATCCACAGGCTTGTTTCTGTTTTGAATGGCTTGAAGCCTGGCC